AAAAAAAAAAAAAAAAAGAATATTATCTAATGTATTCTTCTAATTTTCTTCTTGTTTACTCTCAGGTTCCATATGTGCTAATAAGTTCTCCTTTCCTGGGCAATTTATCACTCTATTGATAATATTAAAGTAACTAGAATACTCTTAGATTATAAAGCTATTAACATGTATTATGTATTTACGTTATGTAACTTTGTGCTGGAATTTAGTGTTTTTCCCTGAACATTTCCATAATGTTTTCACAAAATATTAAATAAACTCACTTGACTCAACAGAAGACAAGGATGAGATCATTACATTTCAAGTTATGTATATAAAATCATAGGGGTGTGTTTCCAAAATTACATACTTATTTAATAAGGTTATTAAATGTCAATTAAATGAATATTGTAGAATCATTTTGGGCAGTTGCCCTATGTTTTTAATTCTTCCCATTTCTCATATATATAATTGGATTTGCTTGAGTGGATTTTAGATAAATTCCAAAGCTTCTTAAACTATGATTGCATTTTCTTTATAATAATAGAGCATATACTCACATGTGTATCCAATCATGAATGAGGACATTTCTGAAAAGAGGTTCATTGCACTACACTTCCATTCATGATGTGGACATTTATGGGGTGCACTGTCCTAGGCTGAGCTTGGATTCTGCAGTTGCTTGTGGATATAGATAGCTTGGACCCGGTGAGGACAACCAAACAAAGACAGATATGCTAGGGTCCGATGTGCTGAGAGGGTGCTAACCGAGCCCAAGGTCGTGGCCTCCTTATGAAGTGGATGGATTCTTGTGTGTAGAATGTATGCCTTTTGTACCCCTCTTCTGAGGCTAGTGCGTAACTAAGTTACGTAGCAGTTTGCTAAGAATGTTGTAGCTTGCTAAAGTCTGCAGAAACAGTAAGTGCGTGGCACTGGGAATATAGCTTGGGGGTGGAGCATGCACTGAGCATGCGCCGAGACCTGGCTCGGATCTCCAACATCAGAAGTGAACAAGCCAAACCAAACAAAATGGTTGATGTGCAGGAAATACCTGTTGGTTTTACTTTTCTCAAGTATTAACAACTTTTATAGATATACAGGGGGTGTTTGAAAAATAAAGTGGGTGTTTAAATGTAAAAAAATATACAGTAAAAGACGCTTGCCGTTCATCCTTCAGATGTACTTGTTCCATCATCCTTACCCCTCTTGCTGAAGCAGTTCTGAAAGTCTCCTTTTGTAGGATCACAAATACAAAGTGCCATACAATGGAAAGTTGGGCTCACAAAAATAGGAGTATGTGCTCATCCATTTTATTCACTGGATCTGGCTCTGTGTGACTTCTGGCTCTTCTCGCCAACTCAAAATAGCCATGAAAGGGAAATGTTCAAAATTGATTTAGGACATCAAGGCAGCCATGACAACCCAAGGTCGCTCAAAAAAGGACTTCTAGAACTGCTTGAGAAAGTGACAAGAATAATGAGATAAATGCTTTGAAGGGAGGAGGAGTACCTTGAGGCGATTAATGACAATGTGTCTTTTACTGTAATTGATATTTTAAATTGAAACATTCGTTATTTTTTTATCATACCTCATAGTTTATACTGTGCTTCCGGTACTTCTTTTCATGAGACAGGCTGTGTGTTTTGAACTTCCTTATACTCAGAGCAACTCTAGCCAAGCAAGCACATAAACACGTGAAGATACTCAGAGTTACAAGATCCTTTGTGGTATTCACCTTTAAATGGAAAATCCTATAGTTGCCTATTTCCTTGATTAGAGGAAAGCTCTGTAACTGAGGCTTTTCCTTGTGTAATAAAATGCTTGGCCAAGTGGTGAGCTTCATAGTAGAAGGAACCTTTTCTAACCTGTTTACTTGCCGCTTAATGTGTTTTTGTTGACTCTTACCCATGCTGATCAGAATGCTAAATGTAAAGATAAATAAATCAAACACACAAGCTTATATACCATATGGTTTCTCTCAAATGAGAAACCAAAGTATAAATAAAGAGCACAATAAATATTATTAGATAAAAGAAAACAGAGGTAGATCTTTTGCAAAAGGGAAGGAGACCAGAAGATGGAGGGGAAGAGGGAGGAAAGAGGGGAAGGGACTAAAAACGAATTAAAATGTGTCATGTACATGTACCGAATACTCACAATGAAAGTAGTCATCATCACAAACATGTACTAATATATTTATTAAACTCTGTATTCCCATTAAAAGCTACATATCTAAAATAGCGGGGTTCACAGTAGAACGTCACGTTGAGACATGTTAAATCTGACTGATCAACACTGTCCTGGATTTTCTTTTTGCCTGTAGTGTTCTCAGCAGTTCTGACATACTCATCAGGAACAAAACTGAAGTGGACGATTGCAAAAATGTTTTATTCTGTGAAAAGAAGAGGGTCATTGTGCTTTTTGATTAAACAAGTTGCCTTGTTAAAATTTCTAAGCCACTATAGTCCAAACATTCTTAATGCTTTCTTTAGTCATTACTACATTCATATTTTATGCCTTTGCTGTAAAATACAAAATCCAGTTTTACTTTATGGCTAACATAACATTTTTATTTCTTCCAGAAATCTAAATGTATTGGCCGGAGATATTACAGTCTGGGAAGTACATCACTCAAATATCTGAAGATTAATAATTAACTTAGATTCACATGTTGGGCTGTTTTTCTTTCTAATACTACAATTAATCTCTTTTTCCTCTCGGAGTCCCAAACACTATTAGTGAAATCAATAGCTTGCTTGCATCATTTACTATAACTCATTTGTCTCTAACAAAAAGTTACATATTTTAACATTTTTGCAAATTTAATTCCTGTACTTACTCCTGACACTGTATTCACAAAGCCTTGTCATCTTGCATTAAGGAACAGTAGATTTTTATTCACCCTGTTTATGTTTACAGGTGTAACTCTGATGATAAATTAATTCAATTACATATATGCATAAGAATTACATATATAAATAAGAATGGTTTTTTAATGTGTACCCAAAAGCATGTGTGAGAACTGTGAAAACAAAAAAAAAACTAAGAAAATTTTTGAGAGGAATGAAAAAGATTTTATCTGGAATGCTTTTATGTTCCTTTAATTTTAGAGATGACAAGGCTTTTGATGTGTACCTTTGTTAGAAAATAATGACATTTTAACATTAATGTACCATTTGAGATAATCTCAGACTTAGCTTTGAGTAACTTTCAGATATGCGCTTTTGCAGAATAGTTTTTAAGTACTTCTGGAAGTAGGCTTTCAATTTATTGCTGTTGGGCTGGGTATGTGGTTCAGTGCTGCAGCCCTGCATTCAGTCCTTAGCGCTGCAAAACGAATTAAATAAACAGAAGTACAGCTGCCTGATGCTGCCTTGTTGGGGGTAGTTTGGGATGCAGGCAATGATTATTTGTGCCATTCTGCCTCAGGTGGAGCATCCTCAGAGGTCTAAAAAGGCGGTGTGGCATAAACTGCTCTCCAAGCAGAGGAAGAGGGCCGTAGTAGCCTGCTTCCGAATGGCTCCCTTGTACAATCTGCCAAGGTCAGACTTTTTAAATGTTTATGAAACTCATTGTTCATGATAGATTACGGCCATTTTTTCTCTAAATTAAATGTGTCTAGAATCTATCTTAACATAGTGCAGTAGGCCAAGATAAGAATGAAGTATATTTATTTGTTTTTCTACGTAATACTTGAGTCTTTCTTTTTTGATTTTTTTAGAGGGGTGTGGCCTGTAATGTAACTGTTAAATAACTTTTCCATGCTGAGGAATATCTGCTCATGTACGTGAGGTAATAGAAAGTGATTAGGAATGCATTCTTTGAGGTGAGGTGGTCTTCCTTTCAATCTAGGAATCTCAGCTTCGTCTCCACCCCCCATTTGGCATTGGTCAACTTACTACCTGATTTTTGTGACCGTTTTCTCACCTAGGCCCTGATGGGATCTGCCTCGTAAAAACACACAGATGATTTAATAGACTAGTGTACACAGAGTTCTTAGAAGTGAGTTTATCACAGTAAATATTAGCTATTATTATTTATGCAATTATTAGCATTTGGGGAACCGATCAGACTTATGGAAATAATGTGAATAAATTTGACAAAGTAGTCACCTTATTTTACTTTATTTTTTTGGTACCGGGGATTGAACTCGGGTCCTTGTGCTTGCAAGGCAGGCCACCGAACCACTGAGCTAAATCCCCGGCTCGTCACCTTATTTTAGAAGTGTGGCAGATGTACTTGTCAATAAGGCAGTGACCTGGCGATCAGGGTCACATCTTAGCCTTCTGGTGGTTCTCCTGAGAAATTGCGCTTTCCCTCTCTGAACTGCATACAACATGCATCATTCTTGTGTCTTGTAAACAGGGTTCAACTCAGCAGTATTTTTTGGAACATATCTGACCTCCTTGCAAGTCACATGCTTTATATTATTTGTTTCTTATATGCTTTTACATATTTCTAGTTGTAGCAATTCTGGGGCTGGTTGTCTGATTCTGGCTTTGTGATGCTTTAGAAATTAATTCAGTTTTATGTGTTCAGCACCGTGGATGGTAAGTAGTGGAGTGACAGTTAATGAACAGATTGTGAGACAGTAAACACAAAACACAAGCAAACAAGCAAGATGTCACATTTTCCGCTTCACTAGGATGCTCGGATTCCTTAACACCAAGCCACACTCACTGAATTAAAATACATTGCATAGCTGCTCTTCAAACCGTGTGCCACTTCTGAGTTTTCTGATGGTGTCACTGTCAGACAGGATATTAGTCTCAAATCTCATGTTTTCATTCCAATGCTGTTCTCCAAAAATTACCCATTTTCCTGACCGATTTCACATCACCGTCCTACCCTTGTGGTCACCTTTGTCTGTCACTTGTTCCTCGCCTCGCCTCAAATGGATGGCAGCAGAAGCTCAGCAGTTTTTGTGATGTCACAGCGATTTCACTGTTGGCAGTGTGCCGTTTTCAGAGTTGCATTCCTTATTTCAGCGGTTTTCCCAACATGGTCTTTTAAGAAATACTGTTACACTTAAATGAACATAGGAAATATCCAGCCCTGAACATATAGAGTTACTATCTGTGGACCTAGCATGACTGAGGTTTAAAAACCACATACTGTAGGTGATCCGGAAGTACTAGCAAGGTCAAACATGTTCTTCGGGATTTTTATGTTGAAGAATTTGGGATAACTTACACGGATTCCAGCTGTGTTTTCCATTCTTTAGCCCAGGTTTCAGGTCCCTTCACAAACCTACTTATCTGCTATGTCCCCTAAGGCCGCACCCCCCTTTTTGATCCTTTCCTCAGCTTGTCCCCCAGCATTACCATCTCCCTGCCACCTCTGATAGTCTATTATGGTGTCACTTGTTGCCATGAAATGCTTCCATTTTCTCTTACGTGGAGGTCATACACTTCTCGTTAACGTCATGCTGTTTCACTGGTTCTGCTAGTCTTCCCTCATCTTTTATTTTGTAGATGGCTACTTGTTATCAGTATTCCAAAATTTTACCTTCATTTTTACACTTCCACGATCTTCATTTAGTACATTTTGCCTTGGAATCCACTCATATTTAGTGTCAACTTGAGCATAGCCTTTCTCTGATGGCGTTTATTACCGTGTGAGCCACTTTCAGTAGTGATAGCTGCCATTTAATGAGTGGCCGCCATTGCACTTTCATCCTTTATCTCGTTTCAGTCTTGTAACACTGAAATGTAGGTGGGGTTACCCTAGGTTTAAAAATGAGAAAGAATGGCAGTTGAGCGACTTGAAAAAGCTGACCAATGTCCCAAAGCTCAGAAGAGGCTGAGCTAGGATTTAAATCCAATTCCGTATGTGATCTGAGAACCCTTGCCCTGTTTGCTACAAAGGTTTGCCCCTGAAAAGAAGAATCAAGTAATATAAAGTTTATTTTGATTTTCCTTTTTCAGTGTAGAGATAATCCAATCATGAAGCACTAGTGAATTCCTTTTCAGTTTGTTTTAAACTTCTGATTGAACTTTTCCTTATCTTTTAGGCACCGGGCCGTCAATCTCTTTCTTCAGGGATATGAAAAATCCTGGATTGAAACAGAAGAACATTATTTCGAAGATAAACTGATCGAAGACTTGGCAGTATGTTTTCAGTGGAGTTATAAAATGAAAGAGGGTTTGGGCTTATGAACCAATGTAGGTATAAACAGTAGTCACATAACACTGAAGAAGAAATTGCATTGTATTGCTCTTAGAAAACGTTTGCATCTCAATTGTTTAGCCTTCAGTGTTTACGGGGGGGAAAAGTTTTCTTATGACAAGAGATCTCGTCAAAATTAAGTGCTTTATAACGTAAGGTCAATAATACAAGTTTATCACTAACCAATCCTGATTTAATTGTTCTATATTCTTTCTTTCAGTCAGTGTTACTGAGGGCACAGTACACGGGGGAGTGACTGCCGTCATCCTCTCTAATCTGATAAGAAGCTGACAAAACCATTTTTCCAAAACCTCTGTAAACATACAGTCTCACAGAACTTTGTAGGATCGTCACAGATGCATAATTCCCAATTTAAATATCTCTTGTTTGAAAAGTATTTTTTAACTTGTATATTATCAGGGAATATAATGGATAATCAAATCCAGTTCTTAAAAAACTATGTTTTCCACCCGTGTTTTTAAAAATAAATCTGATTTATCTTTAGAGTCAAAATATTGAGGCCATGTAGATATCTTAGGGAAATTTGCCTAGTACCTATAACATTTTTATAAGCCTAAAATCCTTCAAAGTATCTCATTTGTGTAGAGAGAAAATTAGTCTGAAGGGGTTAAGGAAGTGAAGACATAAAATTTATGAAATCACTTAATTTAAAGTCAGGATTAATTACTACCATAAACAGTAAAAATATTTAATAGCTTCCTTGTTGTTAAAGTTCGGCCCAATGGTATATTCTTTAAAAGTAACTGAAAAGAAAAAAATGCATACGTAGTCTAAGCATTAGATCATGTTGTATTCTTTGCCTATTATTCTTTAACATTTTTCATCTGATCAGCATTTTGCATTGCCTGGTAGACTAAATTTTCATACTTCGAGTGACTTAAAATTTCATTGCAAATTTTTATAATTCAGCCTACCCAGAAGCTAAAGTTTCTATAGAAAACACTCTTTCAGTTGGTGATGCCTTGGCTTATAGGCTTGCATTCAGAATTTTTAATTTGTGCGTCTTCCTTCCCCTTAGTTTTTTTTTTGTGTTTGTTTGTTTGTTTTTGGCTCTGGCCCTGAAGATGTAGCTTGTTGGTAGAGCACCTGGCTAGCAGGCGTGAGGCCCTACTTCAGTGCTCTCCTCTCCAAGCGCCGCACCGTAAATAAATGAATGAATAAATAAATAGAATTAAATATCTCCGTTGGGAGCCACACGATTTTAGACTGATAATATGTTAGATATGCAGCATATTTTATAGGTATTATGTGATATAGACAACACATATATACACATGGAATGTTCATATGTATTTCAAAATGTGTATACATACAATGTGTGTGTATACATACAATGTGTATATACACATAATGTTTATAATGCATTAAAATTCACACCGATGTGTACACATACGCCACATGGAAAAAAGGGCTTGTGTTTTGGTCTTTGTTGCTATCCCCATTATTGCTCCCAGATTTGAGTGAATGTGAAACATTTGATTTTTTTTTTTTTTTTTTTTTTTTTTTTTTTTT